AAAGGTAAGTTCTATCGATCCGTAGTCAGACCTGCTATGTTATATGGGGCAGAGTGTTGGGCGGTTAAGAAGACTCATGTGCGTCGTCTGCATGCGGCGGAGATGCGGATGTTACGATGGATGTGCGGGAAGACAAGGTTGGATAGGATTTCGAATGAGGTTATCCGACGTCAAGTAGGTATGGCACCGGTGGAAGACAAGTTGCGGGAAGCGAGGTTGAGGTGGTTTGGCCATGTGAGACGGCGGGATGCTGACGCCCCTGTACGGACATGCGAGAGGATTACGGTTATCGGGGGAAGTAGGGGAAGGGGTAGACCTAAGAAGAATTGGGAGGAGGTGATAAGACAGGATTTAGGACTTCTCGACCTGACTGAGGATATGGCCCTAGATGGGAACCTTTGGAGAACTAGGATTAGAGTAGCTGGATAGGAGCTCGGTGTTGTAGGGGTTGTTTTGTAGTGTGTTGTATTTGTTGGGAATCTTTGGCTATTGTTTGTACTTGTTGCTTATACTTGGTGCCTTATCTGTGCTATACTGTGTTCTCTTCCATATTTTTGTGCAGGTGGAGCCGGGGGTCTCTTGGAAACAGCCTCCCTACTTTCGAGTAGGGGCAAGGTCTGCGTACACACACCCTCCCCAGACCCTACTGATGTGGGATTCAACTGGGTTGTTGTTGTTGTTGTTGTTTTATGTATCTAATTCAGAAATTCATTAAGTAACCTTATTCCAATTTTATTTGGGTTGTTGGAGGATAAGTTCATCGAGGATATGGTTACCATTTGAAACCTTCAATTTGAGTTACTGAATTCTTTTGGGTTATAATTGACTTACTGAATTCTTTTGGGTTGCTTTTATGTAGTGGGATTCATTCCTAATAGATATGCAATGGATTTTGACTATGCACATTTTATGGTGACCGAAGGATGTAAAGCTAAAGAGATTCCGGCCAGTTCACCTTCAAGAGAAGCATACCGAAAGCAGCTTGCGGAGATCTTTAACATGAACCGGAGGATCCTTGCTTTTAAGAACAAACCACCCATCCGCCCCCCCTTTGGATGGTTTTCTGAATGAGAACTCTTCCGCTTACCTGGCCAAACCTACAAAACCCCGTCGCCACATTCCTCAGGTAGGCAAGTAGTGCTTGATTGTTCTTGAGGTTAGCGGGTCAATGATAGAAAGGATTCTTTTTTTCTCACAATGAATGATTTATTTTTGCAGACATCTGAGAGGACTTTAGATGCCCCAGATATTTTGGATGATTACTACTTGAATCTACTAGATTGGGGAAGCATCAATGTTCTCTCTATTGCTCTTGGCAGTACTGTTTACCTGTGGGATGCTTCTGAGGGCAGCACTTCTGAATTGGTCACAGTTGATGATGAATTTGGTCCGGTTACGAGTGTTA